TCTCATTGTGACTTTTCTTTCTTAATATTACGACTTTATTCTCATAATTTTATGAATATTCTCATTGTGACTTTTCTTTCTTAATATTACGACTTTATTCTCATAATTCTATTACTTAATTCATATAATGTTACGACTTTATTCTCAAAATAGAAGAAAAAAAATCTCTAGCCTGGCCCTGGTACCTTAAAAATCTTTTTTTTTTTTAAGCTTTAAGAGTAACTGCTGTTTTCGTTAAGATTTTGTTTTCTCAATTTTTTTTTATCCTTTTTTTCAAATTTTACAGTTTACAGTTTCAAACTTTATTTTCTGCTGGAGATTTACAGATGAAATTCTCCTCTCTTCAAGTCCAATACAGACAGATTCTATTGGATAGATGGAACATATGGACGGTAGCTACAAACGTTTTATTAGTTAAGAGCAAAAGCTTGTATTTAGCCTGAGGTGAAGAGAATAGAAACTAAATGCCAATTTGAAAAATACACAATTCTTAAAATTTAATGAGCAAAAGAGAAATTTGAAAAGAATAAAATTATTTTTTTCTTTAAATTATAAAACAAAATTATTTGAAAAATAAAATCTAAGGACACAGGAGTATTACTCTTCAAACATTTTTAATAGGTTTCTGGATTGTAGATTTTTACAAATTTCCTCTTAGAAATCTTGGTCTTTGCTTCGATAATTTGAGAATAATTTGCTTGCGTTGCTGTCAAATTCAATTCATAATAAAAGTCCAGCCTCTTCATAACGCTGAGGAATTCATTGTTATTCAAACCTATTGTAGCCGTCAGAAGAAAAGTTCAAATGTTGTTGTGTCCTTTGTTAAAACACGTCACCCGCATTGCCTACTGATGCTGGTCAGAGGGCCCAGTGACGCTTGTGTACGACAGCCCTCCTTCTGTCAGTGAGCCCCAGGGCAGCTGTGGCTACAGCGTGGCGTGCCACCATCACTGTGAATAACTGAATGTAGTGCAAAGCGCTTTGGGTAAGTCTCCTTATTTAAAACACCTCTGTATAAGTACAGGGCATTTACCCGATTATTAAAGTGACAAGTTAGGTCTAAATCACAAATTCACTTTTAGTTTTGTCTTTAACCCTTTATAGGGCACTCAGTGAAATACTTTGAAAATACAAATTTCAAGCCAATAGTTTTTTTGGAATACGGATATTTTGATGGCAAAAATCTATGTCAAGAAACGCCAACTTGCCCAAATATATTAAGAAAAATATAAAAAGTGCTTCTATAAGAAATTCATGAAAAACAATTTTTTTTTGTACAACATAACCTTAGAGGCATTAATGCTTATACTGGCACTTACATTTTTTTGTTTATAAACCTAAATATAATTGTTAACTAGGCTTATTAACTTTTTAACTTTTCAATTGGCTTTTTACCTTTTTTTTCTTGACTTAACTTTTTTTTTTCAAATTAATTTACAGTAGGTAATATATCATTCAAGGGCTCATCTAATTGGTCAAATAGGCCAAAATAAGATGTGCAGCCATGTAGCAGCATCTTTACTGAATGGCTGGATATAGATCTTGTGCTTCTAGACCTCACTGAGGGACGGGGGTATAGTTGATAAAACCATTCCTCATTTGTTCAGATCAATTATGTTTTTGATAAAAATCCTTTCACTTAAAATGCAATCAGAACACTTATAATATTAAGTGTGTTTCAGCCCCCCTTTCAGTGTCCACCATATTGGATCAGTCTATTTGCTGCACACGTTCAGAAAGGTCCAAACAGACAGAAGCAAACCATTTGAAAACAAATGGGGCGAAGAGCAGTGCTGCCAACTTTTCAGACCCTTCTAGCGCTTTTATTTAAAAAATGAAAGCGGCTAGCGCCAAACGTAGCGACTTTTTTCTGCTACTGGACTTTGGCGACAACATATAAAAGCACCAAACTCTGCTCTCCAGAGTGAGTAGATTGGTAACCCCGCCTCCTGCTCTCCTCTATCTTGTCTGCTGTCATGATTCATGCAGCTATTATTTCATAAAAATGAAAAATGGATAACAAACAAACAGATCATGGCTTGTCTACTGTGAAAAGAAGGACTGGGTTATTTACTGTTGGTGTCGCCTTTTTGGAAACAAAGGAAGGAAAAATCAGCTAAGTGACCTTAGTGAGGAAAACAACAAGAAAATAGACAAGAGAGAGACAAAATGTAGAACAAATAATGTATGTCTATTCTATTAAAATTTCTTTATCTGTATAATTGGTCTGTTTTATGTGTTGTCTTCTCAATTTAGAGGGCCCCATGCCTGTTTTAGCCTAGGGCCCCAAATTTCTTAACCCCGCCCCTGGATTAAAGGCAGTAAAAAAAAAAAGAACAAAATGATACCATAAGAATTTAGCAAAGTATATTAATATTAAGAACTGTGACTAAATAGCAGTTTTGAGTGCTTCTTATAGATAAAAAAAAAACAACAAATAAAACTTAATTAAAACATCTCATAAGGTGTGGTATGGAGCAAAACTCAGCCAGTCTTGGAATTTCACTCATTTGTTTACTTATCTTAAAACTCATTCAAAAAAATCTGTTTATCTCTACTAGTTTACTGGAAAATAAATGAAAACAATAAAAGCTTTGCACATGTTAAATAGTTTGATGAAGTAGTTCACCCAGTCCAAACTGAATCTGATATAATCAAGTCTTTTAGTCTTTAGAAGGAGAGGAATTCCAGTGAGCTCAGCTCAGACCTACTGAGGCAACAGCTTGAGTTTGGCAGGGCTGCTCAACAGGATGTTTGAGGCTGCAGATTCCAAACAAACCTGCCCTTTCACAGTCACAGCATAAAATCATCCCTAATGACACACTGGTTGCTTAAAACAACTTTAACACACTTTAATATTATAATAGAGTAATTGGGCAGGTTGTTTTTAGTTGATATATAACCAAGCAAACCCAGCAGGGCCTGAACTAACAGAGAAAGTGTCCCTGTGTGCAGACAGACAGACAGACAGACAGACAGGTGAGCGTGTTGTTACCTGCACAGCCCATCTCTGCTGTTAGGTCACCATGCGGCTTGTCTGACTGCGGATCCTGAGTGACTGGAACCAGCCTGCCAACTCCTGCTGCTTTCAGCCCAAACACCTCCTCTGGTCTGACAGGACAGCTGGCCTCACACTGCCCTTCAAAATAAAAGCAACACCTGTGGGAGAGTTTCAGTTTTCTCCAACTAAGAGAACAAATAAAATAAAAACAGCGTTGATATTGAAAAAAAAGCAAAATCTAATATTAGTTTCTCATTTCAGTGCACATCCAACATCGGCTCAACTTTGATGTTAAGCACTTGTGCTTTTACTTTGAAGGTCCACCGAATTAGCAGAGAACTTTTGCTTTCATGCTAAAAAAATGTTGCTTTTTAAAGAATGGCTTGTGTTGTGGGACAGTTCTTTTACAGATGTTTGCAAATATTTAATATTAGTTAAATATTTAATTTTAAATAAATGAAATTTTGAGAGCCAAATACCACAACTAATAAATTATATTAAATCCAGATTTTTTTAAATGATGATTTATAAATGATGTTATACCTGATTAAAAAAGGCATGACTAACGATTTCTAAGACTTTCTCCACAAGCCATCTAGGGGGAAAAGCAGAGCATGAGTTGCCTTTGATTAGAATTTAACAAGGTGGTGGCAGCATCATGCTGTGGGGATGTTTTTGTTCTTAAGAGATAAGTTAACTGGATTAGATTTAATTTGAAGCACACTAAGCATATCAGAGGAGATATGAGCAGGTTTGAGTGGTTTCAAAAATGATGACTATATGCAGGGGCAGAGATAGGGGAGGGGGAGCATGACCACCCATAGTCCCCCCTCTATCTCTGCCCCTGTAGACCCCTCTGTACCAGGTGATTTACTGTTCACATGTGGATGTAATACACAACAAGCAGTTCTCATCTAAACCAGGGGGTGGCAGCAGTGATAGCATCATGTAGAATGTCCTATTTTGACATTTTCAAGTTAGTATATTAACCAAAATCCAAAAAAAAAAAAAAAAAAAAAAAAAAAAAAAAAAATATATATATATATATATATATATATATATATATATATATATATATATATATATTGAAAGTAATTGTTCACAGTAATGTACTATAATTAAAGAAGACTAATAACAATTATGCTATTTCAAGAATTATTTTTTGTGTTACAATGGGGAAGAGATTGTTTCTACAGTCATCAAGGAGTACTTTATTTAATTAACATTTTTGCTGTTTTTGACAAAAACTGGTGGAGAAAGACTCCAAAAACCAAGCATCCTTCTTTTTATATTGGTTGTACAAATCTGACTCTGTGAGGATGAATAGATATGGGGGAATGTGTGTTTCCTGGATGGGAAATTCCATTGGGACCAAGTAGCACTAAGTT